TACGTAAAACGCTCCACAACTTCCAGTACCTCTCCCTGGATTGTAAGGGGCGTGTTCAGTGACTGCACGTCCACAAGCATGACCTTACACTTTGTGGGTGCAAAATGCATACCAAAGGACGGGATGACTTTGGTCAGTTCATCCAAGAATACTTGCGCCTTCTCCGCCTCTTCGAACATGAGAACGATGTCGTCTGCATATTCCAGATCGACAAGGTTTTCTTCACTGGCTATTTGAACAACAGGGCTTTGGAGACCCTTCAGTGTTCGTGCTTAATTAAAAATTGGGATTACAAAACAGATCGTTTCAACTCCGACAGTTACTGATCCGGACCTCATCTGTTTCCGACCAGAAACATGAATGCTTGAGCATTTGACTTATTTCGATTAGGTGCGTAGATGCGAGATTCTCTGATATCGCAAAAGATATTGCCTTGGACAACGGAAATTAGGTGGCTGTATACCCCCAGAAAGAGGACATTCTTTAACTCTGACGCATCCCATTCCATTTGTGCGACAGCAAGAATCAACAAATATCGGCATTGAATGTCATCCTTAGTGAAATGGTTTGTCAAGTAACATCTTCGTCCCGTTTCCTCACATAAAATCGTGCCCAAAGTCCTGCGTAAAAAATTATTGAGGGGGGTTGTGAGAAAACTTGTATACTTTGTTCACAAACGTTAACAAGTACAGTGAATCAAACACCTTGAAATATAAACGGAAAATGTACTTCGTTGAGCTTGAAACGCAATAGCTGTGACAAAATGTGGCGCGACAACCTTCTGTCTTCTACATCACGTGACAGTTATCGAGAAATATTTTAAACAAACTAATCAATAGTCAGAAGTGACCGAGTGACATACAGTGAACTTATGTCAGCCTGAAGTCTTTTCCCTCACCCTATCTCATCTAAAAGGAATCGGTTCATTATATACTTGCACCTTCGATCGGGACGGACACCTTGATCGGTTCAGTGAAAAATACCCCCATATATATTTATATATATAATGGGTGGTGAGATTGTAACCATTCACCTTGGCCAAGCCGGTGTACAGATAAGTCACGCATTATGGGAACTGGTTTGTGTGGAACATGGAATACATGCAGACGGACGTAAATCTGAGGATGCCGCCAATCAAGAAAACTTTGAAATCGGCCGCGACTATGTGTTTCGTGAGGTACTCAGGGATAGATATGTGCCCAGGGCACTCCTCGTTGACCTTGAACCATCGGTAGTCGGTAAGTGACAGCGGTAAAATTGTCCTCTATCATATGTGCACAATAGTTTATCTCAGAGTGTTTAGAACAACCATTGATTTGAGTGACACTGCAATCATAGAATAAGTGAAAAGGTGTTCCTTTGATCCTATCGACTGACAGAACAGCGTACCTGTCTAGTTGTAAAGGTGTAGGTGGACTTGAATTATTGCTTGTTAAGATGTTTTTCCGTGTTGGTCATGAACCACTATTCAGTATTTACTTAATTCAGAAGTCGATGTGTTTTACCGCTCGTACAACGCCGGAGGTGTAATCAAAAACTAACCTTGATGGAAATTTTGAAGACTGCCTCACTGATTAGGTCCAAGAAGGGCAAAACAACTAGTGGAGTGTAGGTAGTGTTACATCAAAAAAATACCACTCCTCGTTTGATTTCTACTACAGAAATGCATAGTGTCTATGTTCATGGTACTGCAGGGGGTGCTTCTCCATGGTACATAGGTGTTACCTTAAGAACCTTACATCACTTCCCACTTTTTACCTAAGGCCGTTGACGAAATTCCCTAAAGTCAACAAAGTTAAGGATAATACAGAAAATTAGGGTAAGTCCCCACCCGCTCACAAAGTTGAGCCAAACCTAGTGTGGGTATTCCATGTCGTGCGTCGTTTTATATCATACTGTATTGTACTGTATTGTAGTGCGGTGCATTGTATTGTACTGCCCATAGGATATTGTCATTACATTTATCCGCATGCCATTTGTCGACCTCACTTCCTTGCTTTAAGGTTAGCGGTTTTCTACTGTACTTTTAGTCTTCAACTATAGAATACTATGTATTAATTCATTCTAGATCGTTGGCAACTGATCAGGTGGCTGTTGATCTGTTCGCCGAGCTTGGCAATTGATTTGCAAACGTTTCGTCACCATTCGAGGAGACATCTTCAGTGCGCTGTTGGTTGGGTAGCGTGTCAGTCGGTCTGTGGGCCACTTTTATGGCATGCTGTTGAATTATCCTGAGATACTTGACCTTTCTCCATAGTTCCTTTGCAAGGTTATAGGTCTGCTCAACGACACCACCACGTATCGCCATCTGGAGGATGATCAAATTAAAAAAAA